TCATGGAGGGGAAAACAAAAGTCCAAAAGGATGTGACCAGATGTTAACAGTGGGAATCTCCAGAGATGAGAACACAAATTTGTTAAAAAGATTATCAATTTATTTTATAATTAGGAGAAAAATGTTAGTCCTAAGAGATCGAAGACAGCCTATAATTCAGTTAAGAGTTCTGGAATGCCACAGAAATAAGAAATCACACGTTCTAGACTAGAGTGGGAAGATCAGGAGGAGGTGGCATCTGGGGGATTCCTGACGGATGGATAGGATTTAGACATGGATGGGAGAAGACACCCTAGAGGGGGAGACCTAGGCGAGTGGATAATCATGATGGGTGTGCCACTCACCAATTTATTTCCTCTCAGGTCTAAAATCCATTCTTGGCCCTGCTTTGTGATGCTGGAGCTGAACTCTGTAGACCTTTCTCTCTTGCCCATTGGCACAGCGCTTGGCTCTGTCCTGCTACAGCGTGCCTGGGGACGTTGAAAAGAGTCCCCTGATCAAGGAGGGACTACAAGATTAGTCAGATAAGGGGCACCTGGGTGGCTCAGTTGAAGCCTCTGCCTTCAGCTCAGGTCATGATCCCAGAGTCCTGGGATCGAGCCCCGCCCGCATCGGGCTCTCTGCTCAGCAGGGAGTCTGCTTCCCTTCCTCCCTCTCTCTGCCTGCTTCTCCGCCTACTTGTGATCTCTGTCTGTCAAATAAATAAATAAAACCTTTAAAAAAAAAGATTAGTCAGATAAGCACAAGAAAATTTTTCAGACTCTCAACATCTAGGCAGAAGAGAAATTCATTAATGAGCTGAAAGACTAGTAAGAAATCTTAATGTTGCCAAAGATCGCTTAGCAACTGCCTGACAGACCATGAGTCTTCCCAAGGCTTGGGTCCTCTGGCCTGCTCATCCCTTCCTCTACAGCCTGTCTTCCCTGGTCAGGACCCTCCTGACAGGCGCCTCCTTCTCTGAACGCTGAGTACACCACACTTTTCACACCACTTTACCTTTGGCCAGAGTATTGCCACTGCCGGGAACACCGTCCTCCATTCTTTGATGCCTTGACAAATATCTGTTTGTCCTTCAAGAGGCTGATGGGGCATCACGATGCACATCGTGGTGGTGAAAGACGTTTCCCCAGATTATCATCCCTCCAGCTTCATACCTTCCCCTTCCACATTCCTTCTGGATGCCTCGATTCCATGCATTCGTTATCTTAGGCTTATTTGTGTCTTTGTTCATCTTTTCCGCTATGAAACTTAATACTTTAATTCTCCCTTAGATCTCCAGAGCTTAGCAGATAGCCTGGAACATAGCATGTGGACTGAACTGACTTGGGAGGATGGTGATATTTGAGGGAATTAAACACTCAGAATTAGTGTGTGGGGGAGGGCATTGGTAGGTGTAGAATAGCATTTTATAGTATTCCTGGTTTAGGAATGTTGGCCATCCAATATCTGTTCCAGTAGGTTCCATCAGCATGGTATTTCCCCACCTCTGCCTGTCTCTCTGTTCTCTCTCATACACAGGCAGGGTAAGTGGTAGATGAATTAGAATCTGTTGTTAAATTAGTCTGCTTTGGGCTCAACCTACGAAATTCTGAGCAGGAAAACAACTATACTTCCTCATGAAGTTCTTTTTTTTTTTTTTTTTTAAGATATTTATTTATTTATTTATTTATTTATTTGACAGGGGGCAGGGCCGGGGTACAAGCAGGGGAAGTGGAAGAGGGAGAAGCAAGCTTCCTGCTGAGCAGGGAGCCCCATGCAGGGCTCCATCTGAGACCTTGAGACCATGACCTAAGCCGAAGGCAGACACTTAAAGACTGAGCCATCCAGGCGCCCCCCTCATGAAGTTCTTTTTTCAGTGTCCATTTCAGTCAACATCCCCTCTTAACATAAAGGAGGGGAAAGTTCCAAGGTGAACAATAGAATATGCCTCACATTGCTGGTGTTCTGGGGACAATTGGGCTTGTTAAGTGACTGCCTGTATCGCTCTTTCCTGGCCCAAGCTCTTAAGTCCATCCCAAACTCAGAGTGTCTAGATTTTGATTGGATTTTTGCCAGAGCTCATTAGCATAGTGTACCTTGGCCTGGATTAGGGAACTGCAGCTTCTGCTTAGAAAATGACCAGAACCTGCTGGGACCTGAACCAGAGATGAGATTTTTATGACACAGTGTTGTCTGCTTCTCCATAAGAAGTCAGAAGGTAAGGAAGCCAGAAATCCCTGGGCGAGGCCAATGTAAGGAATATGCTAATAGCGATCCCATTCCTACAGGATTTCAGTTCTACTTGAAATGATGAAATTTGAATACATTTTGCCCCAAGTTGCTTAAAAAAAAAAAAAAAAAAAAGGAAATCTTTACAAATTAAGTTTTTTAATTCTGGAGAAAAACTGAATTATTTATTTTCTAAGGGCTGCAAACAGTCGTTCCTGTGTTTTGTTCTTAACTTTCAGGGAAATACTAAACTAAGGTTTGTTCATTTGGCAACAATTTATAACTGAGAAAATAAAAAATGAAATCTTTGTGCAGCAGGATTTTTTATTCCTCTCCCCTTAGTTTAAAAACAAAAGAGTTATGTCTGTGTCGTTTAAAGAAATGCTTAGGAATTTTTGAGATATGACTCTTGTTATTCAAGGTCTTAAAAAAAAAAAAAAAAGTTCAGTCTGTCCCAATGAGCTACAACAAGTTTTAGACCATCTGAGTTACTGTTGTTAACACTCAGAGAGGTAACCCCATAAAGCTGTTACCATCAGGTCGCCACATGATCTCTGTGTCTCGTAGACTTGGAATTGAAATCTGAATTCAGGTCAGTCTGTAGCAGCATTTCTTCAGCAACTCAATGTTATTTCCCAAACATAGAGTTTGATTTAGAACTCCTGGGGATTTAACCTTGCATGGCAGTGTTTGAAACAAGGGTGATGGACTTCATGCTCTTTGAATCTTTGACCACTAGGTTGTAGGTGAGTGTGGTAGGGGGATAAGGGGTGAAGGGACCCCTATTAGCTTATTATGTAAGGGTCATACTTTCGGGTCAGCAGTCTTCTATATTCATATACTTGCCCTCAGATCTCACTAGCTGACAAGTGTTAGGGTTATATAAAGATACGTGACTAAGGAACAGAGCCCATGGCACTTCTCAGTTGGAGACTATTAAACTAACTCATAGTTCAGGTTTACTATTAAGTTGTTTTATGTAACATCATTATGTCCCTTGTTTTTACAAGAGCCACCAGCAAATGGAGATTGCACGCATACTAACATGTTTCACTTTGTGTTCTACTAATACGCACATTTCACCCGCAGAATGATCACTTTTTTCCTCAGAGTAGAACATTTTCTTTCTTCTCCTTCCTTTCTTTCTTCCTTCCTTCCTTCCTTTCTTTCTTTTCCTCCTTCTTTTTTCTTTTTTGGCTAAATCTCCTTTAACCAGTTATGATTAGAAACCAGAGTGGTATTTCTCATGGGGGAGGAAATTCAGTGTGCAAACATTTTTGAATCTCTGTCATTTACATAATATGATTTAATCAGAGCAAAATGAGATAGAATCTCCGGTGGGGGGGGGCAGGGGGGGGGGAAGAGGGAGATTTTTATTAGAAAACCTTGAAGGATACTTTTGAGTTAAAGTCAGAAAACAATATTTTTATTAAAAAAAATTTTTTTATTTTATAACATTCTTTTTATTTTATTTTTAAAATAAAATGTGGTATTTGTTTCATGGATACAGGTCTGTGATTGATCAATCTTACACAACACCCAACACTCCCCACACACATAACCCTCCCCAGTGTCCATACCCCAGCCATCCCATTCCTCCTGCCTCCCCAGCAACCCTCAGTTTCCTGAGATTAAGAGTTTCTTATGGTTTGTCTCCCTCTCTGGTTTCATCTTGTTTCATTTTTTCCTTTCTTCCCCTATGAACCTCTGCCTTGAAGAAATACTATTTTAAAGCAGTAGTTCTCAAACAGTTCTGCTCCTTCCAGGGGACATCTGGCCATGTAGGGAGACATTTTTGGTTGTCACAACAAATGATGTGTTGCTACTGACACTTAATGGTCAGAGACCACAGATGCTGCTAGATGTCCTACAGTGCACAAGATAACCTCCCACAGCAAAAAGTATCAGGTCCTGGGGCTCCTGGGTGGCTCTGTTGGTTAAGCGTCTGCCTTCGGCTCAGGTCATGATCCCAAGGTCCTAGGCTGGAGCCCTACATCGGGCTCCCTGCTCGGTGGGAAGCCTGCTTCTCCCTCTCCCACTGCCCCTGCTTGTGTTCTCTCTCATGCTCGCTCTCTCTCTCTTTCTGTCAAATAAATAAATAAAATCTCTGAAAAAAATTACCAGGTCCAAAGTGTCAATAATGCCCAGGTTTGAGAGGGAATCTGATTTGAGGCTATCCATTAATACTATTTGAAAATACAAAGTACACACTGGTTTATTGAGATAAAAATTCATCTCTGGAAATTTAGATTTAAAAACTTCTGGATACATTTGGTTGTGATGTTTCCCACTTCTGACTTGAACCACACGTGTGTAAGCTAGTGTACAAAGGTAAATCTACGAAAACAGCTCCAAGCCAGCTCTCCCTCTTGCCCCAAGGTATATGGAGGACAGTGTTCTAACCATTGGCTGCAGGTGACAATGGTCCCCACTCTGGCATTCCCAGCCCGGGCCTAGCAGGGAGAAAGGCAGCCCCAACCCAGTGAGCGTGGTGCTTCTGACACCCCGTGGTCGAGCTTTATTGTTACAAGATCACTAATGACTTCTACATTGTGTTTTTATTTTGTATGTTGGTGCTTGCAAAAATGTCAATGAAACAGGTTTTTCTGGCAGGCGAGTACTGATTTTTATCTCTTTAACGGTCAGTATTACTATCACTTATTTTTTAGCGTCAGAGAACGGTCTCCAGGTCTAAGCTACTGAGTCAAGAGTGGATTGATCCGACCGTAGGAAACGCCGTTGAGAGGCAGATTCCTCACCATTTCTGTGGAAAATTGGGTAGAAGGAACCCTATGGCTGACCTAACTGTCATGGCGCCTGAAGACCTTGATTCCGAGGACAAGGAGATGTTAAGCTGGGATATTAACGATATGAAACTGCCACAGGTACGTACTTACATAAGAATCTGCCTTCAGCCTTTGACTCTGAAGCCTTAACTTGTTACATTCTGGAAGGAAATTGGTGAGAGGCCAAGCTGGGTAAATTCCTGTCCTGCAGAGCTTTGGCTGGGCATCTAACTGCGGAATTTTAAGAGGAGATGCCATGACCTAGAATTGGAGTGGGTCTTTACCTGGTGACACCACGCCTCATCCCACAACAGTTACAGACTGAAACAAAGAAAATGCTGCTTCCCTTCTCTTTTCCAAGTTTGGCTTGGCTCCTGTCGCACCTACCCCAGCTAGCTGGTAGAATAAAGTCGATGATAAGTTATTTGCAAATAGATGGACTCTACACAGTGCACAGATTCCCAGAAAGCCTTATTTGCTATATAGTATTGGGTTTTTAAAACTTCATTTTTAAAGATTTTACTTACTTATTTGACAGAGAGCACAGGCAGGCAGAGTAGCGGGCAGAGATAGGGGAAGAAGCAGACGCTCCGCTGAGCGGGGATTCCCCATTCAGGACTCGATCTTGGGACTGACTCCAGGATCGTGACCTGAGCCGAAGGCAGTTGCTTAACCAACTGAGCCACCCAAGTGCCCCAATATAGTAGTGGTTTTAAATTAAATCTGTAACTGGAATGTTCAAATGATAGTGCTCTTATGGGCCAGAGCAACTCTTCTAGAACTTGTGTAAGTAAGATGGGGTGGATATACACGGGGCTGTTTTCCAGCTACGGAGAGACTGTTTCATATTTTCTTTACCTTCATTTTTGGCATTTGACTTTTTAACTCTTAATTTGGTGGAAAATATTAATTGTGTAAAACTGACCTCCCCTGACTCCCTTTTTGGCATTCCAAGGATGTTTTCACTGGAAGTTGTTGGAAAGGGTATTGGGAAGGCAGGGTGGAGATCACCAGTACTGTTTAATGAAAAGGTCAAGCTAGTTTGCCTGATTCTGGGGAACAAATTTGTTTTTTACCAAGGCAGGGCAGAAGAAATGAGCTTCCACAGTCTCAGTTTAAAACCATTCCGGATTTCATTCTCACGAAGACTTCCAGATCATTTCAAATTTCACTCTAATGAAGGTTTTCTTTTGTTTCTCTGTTTTCTCTTAAATTCCTACCTATGTTACCTCTCAGTAGGTCTTAGAAGAGCTGGAAGTCAAAAAGTATACCCTGGGGGCACCTGGGTGGCTCAGTGGGTGAAAGCCTCTGCCTTCGGCTCAGGTCATGATCACAGGGTCCTAGGATCGAGCCCTCCATCGGGCTCTCTGTTCAGCAGGGAGCCTGCTTCCCTTCCTCTCTCTCTGCCTGCCTCTCTGCCTACTTGTGATCTCTGTTCTGTCAAATAAACAAATAAAATCTTAAAAAAAAAAAATATACCCTGCTTTTCACTCAGTTAAGGTGGTTAAATAAACCCTAGTTGAATCATATAAATATCTATTGTAGGGATTTGTCCTTATAGTTGTGCCTTTTTTTTTTTTTTTTTAGATTTTATTCATTTATTTGAGAAGGAGAGAGAGAGCATGAGCAGTAGGGAGGGGCAGAGGGAGAAGCAGACTCCCTGCTGAGCAGGGCTCCATCCCAGAACGGTGGGATCCTGACCTGAGCCAGAAGATAGACGCTTAACTGACGGAGCCACCCAGCTGCCCCTTTATGGTTGCTCTTAATTGGCTTATGATCGTTGCTACTGTTCTAGGAGAAACTTTAAGGTACATTTTAGTTTACCTGGCTCAGGGATGTAGATCACTTCCTTTTCCTAATTTCATGATCGTAGCTCACAAGTAGCTTCCAGGTAACCTAAGCTTCAAGAGTAGAAGTAAGCAAGGACCTGGAAGGTTTGCCGGGCCGCTTCCTCGAGCAGGGGTTTTAATGGGGTTTGAGAACCCTCTGAAGTGGCGGGGTAACACTGTCTACTAACATGCATTTTTTTTTTTTTCTGGGACCAAAGACTATATCATTCATCAGATCTGTAAACAAAAGAAAGGAAACACCAGGGGCACCTGGGTGGCTCAGTTGATTAAGTGTCTGCCTTCAGCTCAGGTCGTGATCCCAGGGTGCTGGGATCGAGCCCTGCATTGGGTTCCCTGCTCTGCAGAGAGCCTGCTTCTCCTTCTTCCTCTCTGTCAAACAAATAAATAAATAAAATCTTTTAAAAAAAGAAAGGAAGCACCACTTCTCTGGAGGAAAACTCGGAACTCATGAAAGTTCACTTTCCATTATGAATTTCCAAAAACAAAAGCATTCTCAGTTTCCCAAGACATTGCATTCAGAAATTTACAAAAATACACAATTTAGTTTTGAAAATGCATCATTTATAGTTAATCAAAAAGTAGGATTGCTCCTGGAAATAACTCCGTGAACTTTAGCAAGTGCCCTTGTAAATATCCCGGGGTAATGATTAGAAGTGCAGTTCCTTTGGGGCACCTGGGTAGCTCAGTCAGTTAGGACTCCTACTCTTGGTTTTGGCTGGGGTGGTGATGTCAGGGTTTGTGAGATCGAGCCCCGTCCAGCCGTTTGAGGATCTGTGCAGGGTATAGAGTCTGCATAAGAGTCTCTGTCTGCCACTGCTCCCCGCCCCCAGCTCATGCGTTTTCTCTCTCTCTCTCAAAAAAAAAAAGTGCCGTGTCCCTTTAATATTTCTAAGCAGAGACACCACCATCCTGATCTGGGTTTGTGCTGGCTCTGGAATCGTATCACGAACCATTTGAGGTGAAAAATAAAAGGTTCTTGGAAAGATTTCCAAGCTGATTAGGTTGTATATTTTGTGAGTATTTCAGGGCCGAGTGGTTGCACTGTGTAAGCCGGGGTATGGGGACAAAACCCCGGCTTGGAATTCCAGTTCTGCCTCTTTTTAATCTGTAAAGCCTTAGGGAGTTGTTTACCTTTACTGAGACTCCCTTTCCTCTTCTGAAAATAAGGTGGCTGCACTGACCGGTCTAGGGTTCTGGGACCTGAGAGTAGGCAAGCAGCCTGCCTTCTAGAACTGTCAGCCCAGCATTAACACAGTACCTGACATACATTAACAGCAGTTGATAAGTGTGGAATTAACTAGTGAATGGCTCCACTGCTTTCAATCTGTGTGACTCTAAACAAACCATTTTTAAGTCTCAGTTACCTCCTCAGTAAAAGGAAAATCGAAATTCCTTACGCAAGCCGCTTAGAGCCCTGTTTGCCAAAGTATGTTCTGTGGACTATGGGTGACGCAGCATTTTTGTAGGTGTTGTAAAGAAAAACAGAAGCCCTGGGTTCAACGAATTAAACAGATTTCTTTGCGCGGATCGGAGACTTCCATCCACGTCTGTGTTGGCGGTGCTCCCAAAAGAAGGCGGTGTCGGACTCTGTGGCTCTGACTTGTTTTTGACCCTGGAGTCCTCTCTGTGGAGCCCCTCAGGCGATTCATGTTCCTCAGACTACCCGTTTGGGCACCAAAAAAAATCCGGTTTGAAGGATCAGATGCAATTGCTTGTTATTGTTGTAAATTTCGCACAAGGAATTCAAAGTTTGTTTTTTCCTAATTTTGTGTTCTTGCCAGGATGACTACTTCCACAGTGTGTAGGCAAATTCTGGCAACTGGTAGACCCATTTCTTTACTGCTAATCTGCTCACATGCTTCAAGTTTTGAGATGGGCCGCTGAATGCTCAATGCAGGCTCCATGCCCTGAAATTCCGTAGCCCCTTACACATCTCAATCATGCCAAGATTTATGGGTTGGTTTTTGCCAATAGTGAATGCTGATATCCTCATTAGGACATTAGATGTTCCGTGGGGCGCCTGGGTGGCTCAGTTGGTGAGGTATCAGGCTCTTGATTTCGGCTCGGGTCACGATCTTTGGAACATGCTTGGGATTTTCTCTCTCTCCTTCCTCTGCCCCTCCCCTGCTTGCTTGCCCTCTCTCTCAAATAAATTAAATAATTAAATTAAGTTCAATTTTAAAAAGACCCAAACATTTCTGAGTGATGACAATGTGTCAGACACTACAGCAGGCTCTGGGGATATAGGGGCCATGAAGCTATGCTAACTTTCATGGATGAGCTCATGATCTTTTGGACAAATGGAGTAATAAGGTCAGTGCCTGAATGGAGAGTCTGTGTCATGCAGAAAAATGCTGGAGGTCCTTGCAAAAGGATATATGTAATTCAGTGTGCCTTGGACATGGGAATCAAGACGGCTTCTGGCAAAGGGCTTTCTCGGAGCAATGCCTTGTAAAATGTAAAAGGGGGAAGCAAACAAGACCATCAAGGCAGAACAGGGCACCAGAGTCCAAAAGCTATTCAGCCTCTACGTTTTTTCTTTTTTAAGATTTTATTTATTTATTTGACAGAGATCACAAGTAGAGAGGCAGGCAGAGAGAGAGAGAGGGAAGCAGGCTCCCTGCTGAGCAGAGAGCCCGATGCGGGACTCGATCCCAGGACCCTGAGATCATGACCTGAGCCGAAGGCAGCGTCAGCCTCTACGTTTGAGGGAGCTTGTGCACAGGCATCCAGCAGGGTCGGCAGTAAGATGGGGGAGGCTACTGGCTGGAAAGGCGGTTTGGAAGCAGACTATTCTAAGAGGATTCAGTTATTTTCTAGGAAAAGGGTCGTCATTAGGCTTTTGGGGCCAGATAGAATCATGATTGGATCTGGGGCTGAAAGTCCTCTTGCTCTGGCTAAGTCATCCCTCCCCTCTATTTGTTTCATGTGGGCTTCCTCCTCCTCCCAGCTGCATGTTAGATCTTTATAAATCTTCCTTTCACTTGCTTCTGTTTCCTCCTCTAAGGGTGGTCATTTTGACACCCTTTCTCCATAATCCAGCCCCCAGGGAGCCAGCCCTGAACTGCAGGCACTCAACTTACTCAAAACCACCATTGATAAAAATCTCAGACCAGTGTGGTGTATCAGTTTGCTTTCCCTTTTTATTCCCCTTATATTTTCATTTTCATTTTAAAGGTGCAACTATAATTGCATTAGGGTTTGCTTGACCCAAGCAGCAAATGTCTGGTGTTGGTTTCCCTACATTAA